ATTTTCGAATGCTGACCTTGTGATGACGAGCTTCCAAGTCAACAAACTCGACTGCGGCCTCACGCTTGTCGGCTCCACCCCCCAGGAGTTTAGCGAGGCCACCACCGGCTCCCTATCTTGATATTAGCTTCCGCGCAGGCAGCAGGGATCTGGATGCTGGCTGACCTTGTGGTGGCGAGCCTCGATCTCGACCTCACGCTTGTCGGCTCCACCTCCCAAGAGCTTCGCGAGTCCACCTCCGGCTCCCTATCTTGATATTAGCCGTAGCTCGAGGGGAAAGACTTTGGCGTACTGACCTTGTGATGTCTGACGACCAAGTTGCTATCTTCGATCTGTCCCGGTATTAGCCGCCAGCACGTCTGAACTGTAGCTATGCCATACGTACAGGTGCAGCTTGGATAGGCGTAGCAGCCAGCATGGCCACCGCCAAGAATCGAGCGACGTGTGTCAATTGCATTCTGAAAGATTAAATTGATTGATTGGAGTGACTGGAGCAGAGAACTCGAAACTGGCTAGCAGAATCTGAGTATAGAGAGTGGAGAAAAGAAAAAAAAAAAGACCGGTTGGTTCGATATTATGAAAATGACTGCCAGCAGGAATGTGGGAGGGAGAGAATGGATCGATGTGAACAAGTGAGAAGGAATGAGAAGGAATGGTTTGATAACGAGACGTCGACTTGGATTTGAGCAAGATACATATAGCGCCCACCTCCCCGCCGCCCGCAGCCCGGGTCGTCATTCATGCCACGAGCAGCCATATCTGGAACCACGTCGAAACTGCGGCTCACACGTCAACTCCAGCTGATCGACTTCATCGAATAGCCGATGTCCATACGGCTGCCGCTATTGGTGTGTCGTGTCTCGGCAGAACAGATCAACAAGACCAGGCTGGATACGATTCGCGGAGCGTTCACGAGAGAGATCCATGTCGGACTCTCGAAAAAGGTCAGAATAGCGATCACTCTAGTTTCACTCCCCGTTCGAACAGCGGAAACTGTTCAGGCCTCGGGCGGCATCCGCAGAGGCTCAAGATACGCATCAGGAAAAACCGGTTGTTGCTTGTTTTGCCGCCCCGTAGCAAACCAAACAGCTGAAGACGTAGCGAGTGCCCCAGATGCGAAAACGGTCCTGGAGGATGCCGCTCGGTGCTGTGCTTGGTCAGTCGAAGCTAGGCTTGCGTGCGCGGCGGGTAGCTTGTGCGAAGAGAGTTCCGTCGAACTGCGAACTGCGAACTCTGACGTGGGAAGTTACGGCAGAGGGTATGATGGTCGTGCGAAAATCTCGCTTAGGATGCCTATCTTGGAAGGGTAAGCGAGCCAGACCGTCCTGAAACCAAACCGCGCCAGATATGAAGTGTTGCGGAGCGCGTCTCTCCGTTTCGGTTTCCAACTCAGCACCTTCCGCTCAGGTCAAGCGACGTGAGTCTGGTATTTTTCTCGGCGTGTTTTTATATTGCAGCGGCTGAGGAGTGTTGGGACGGCTAGCTGCAATGCTCTAGCTATGTCGTAATCGCACTGGTCCGGGCTTCTCGCGGTAGGAACAATATGGAGAGCAAGAGAATACAGTGACAGGCAAGTCGAAATGCTTATACAAAAGTGTCTACAACATCTACCGTTGAGAAGCAGGACAAGTGTATAGTCAGCTTGGGCTTGAACAACAGGACCCCTTTTCAATCACAGCAGATACACCCATCTACTCCTGCGATCTTCGTCCCTCGATCATCGCTTTTTGACCATAGATAAGTAGCCACTAGCCGTAACCCATACCCTAAACCAGATCTCCGTCCACCCCAAGTAAACATTATCTGAAATACTTGGCGCGCTCACCATATTGATCTACAAGAGGAAATCTACCGGTACACAGGATAATAACATCCCAAGTTCCGATGCGATCCAGGTACAAACAACGATAGCACGGGAGGGATGGAGAAGAATATACCCAGCACCACCTCCTTTCCTCCCCATCCCAACGCGAAGTGTATGTACTCCCCGCGTCCTGATACCCATCAAGCTCTCCCCGAAAATGCAGACTCCCGACCCCGGGAGAAGACCCAAGGACGGGGATCCGGGACATTCCCGCGCGTGGGGGTCGCCGCCCCGACGGCTCACCCGATCTTGGCAACGGCTTGCAATCTTACCGCGCTCGTTACTCTACCTACCGGTCGTTTTGTTTCCACCGCAGGGCGGGACGTGGTTGGGTGAGCGATGGAGGCTGCGGAGCCGTGGATGGGGGCGCGCTTGAAGTCGAAGCCCCCGTCGTGTTCGGTTCTCCGATGTTTGTTTCTCCCTCGCGCAGGATGTCCCTTCGTGGAGAGATACTGCGTGAACAGAGATAGATGCCGTATAGGCCAAGGAAGGGGGGTTTCTCAGACTCAGACGGAGGATGGAGACCGTGGCGCACGTGGCCGAGAGCGATGTGTACGTTCGAAGTGGAGTGGAGTGGAGTGAAAGGGGCTGGCTGGCTGAAGAAGCGAGCTTTCGCTCTGGCTACTCTACTTCATTTGCAAAGCGTGATATCATTACACTAAAATTTGTGGCTGGGGACAATAGCCTCTTCCTACACGACATGCATCCTCTGCATATCCAGATCCCAGACTCCATCCGAGGGTACTCTTCTGCACCATCTTCCCCAGATCTGCCGCAGCTCAGTAAATCTGTTGGTCGTTGTACGCCCGAACGCTCTCCAAGTAGTCGATCACCGAGCCGTAGTTTTTGCAGACTGCCGCGAGAGAATAACAGTCAGTATTCTGTTTCGTTCCATACAAGCGCACTGGGGATCTGATCGGACTTGCCATGCTTGGAGTCCCAGCCATCCGAGCCTCCGTTGTGATCCGGGAAGGTGGTCTCCAGTCCTTCGAGCGCCATGTCGGCCGAACACATGATCGCTTGACGCATGTAGTCGAAGCAGTGGATCATGTGCCAGTGGTGATCCTCGGGCAGGGTGATATTGGCCTTCAGGCCCGAGTAGGTCTGGACGACGGCGAACAGACAGTGCAGCTGGTGGGTCATGGACGTGGTGAAGACGGTCCCGGTGGGCCAGATGATGGGCGTGGGCAGGTCGTGGTATTTACTCGTGTCGTTTATCATCTGGAAACCCATTCCGACTGAGTGTCTGGTTAGCGGACGGCCCTCATTAATCCACTGCCCGGCTGAGAGGATAGTTACTGGGCATCAGCTCATTCCAGGCCGTCAACACTTCTTCCTTGAAAAATTCGGTGGTGTTGTAGGGAGCGAACGTCTGGTTGATGTGGAATGTTTTGACCTCGGTGGGGACTAGAGCACGGTCAGAAGTCACTCATCCTCTTTTCTTTCCATCATATCTCGGCCGCGGAATATCCTTACGATGTGGTCCAACTCCAGTAAAATCTCCACCAACGTCGCGCTCACTACTTTTGGGAACGGCGGCCTCCGTCTGGTTTCGTAGCAGCAAGACAATGATGACAAGGAGCAGAATTGTATCAAGGAACCATCTCCCTTCCTTAAGTATCGACAAGCATGATGCGGCCTTCGATTTCTTATATCTTGGTCTGTATTGCTCTCCGTGCATGTGCTTGTCGTCGCCCATTACAGAATCGTCCACGTCGGTAATCGACGAGTCGTCGTTGTCGCTTAGACTAACATTCTCGTACTTGGGTAAAGCTGTCATAATTAAGGAGAAGATGGGGGTATCGGTTTTTTTCTTTTTTTTTTCTTTTTTTTTCTTTTTTTGGGCGCCAGCGTCTAGAGAATGGTTGAGTGAATTTGAGAAACCAAAAAGGGACTGTCCGACTCCTAGGGATAGTCTTCAAGATCCGGAGACGAGATGACTGATCTGAATTCGCATGGAGTTCCTCTCGCCGCCCCAAGTGTTGACAGCGCCAGAGACGAATGACGTTTCGGGTTGCAGCCGTGGTGTTTGGCGTTTGGCGTTTAGCGAAGCACTTCCTCCCTCCCTCCCCTTCTCCTCCCTCCCCAACCAAACTTGTCTCGGGCGGCGAGCAACACCACCGCGATGGTCGGGGCTTTCCATGACCATGAATGAAACATCGTGCAAAACCGCAAGTGCTCGAAAGCCATAGCAAAGGTGCACGCTGCCGTTGTTGGCACGGATCGCTTCCCTAAGCGAGCGCCGTCCGACGCTTTGTTGAATCAGATGCTCTCTGTCCGCAGCTCTGTTCGCCGTGGAAACCCTCTCGAGATGTTCCACGCGTCTTTGATCCAGCTCAAGAATTCATATCAAAGGCGATACCTACTGGCGCCCCCACCTTCTCCTCTCGATTGCTGATCCCGAACTGCAAAAAACCATTTGCATCCCGCCGCACGAGTTTCCATGTCCCCAGCCGAGCCATGAAGAGCCGTTGCCTCGTTCTCGGAATCGGAGAGTGCATTCCCGCCGTTCACCTGCTTCTACACAGTCTGCTCCTCGTGGCGCACGCATACACGCCGCTCAACGAGGCCTTCCTCACGAACATCTCGGCCGGAGTGCTCGACTCGGACTTCAACCCTGCCACGGGGAGCCTCCTCTCCCCGATCCTGGTGCCGCGCGCTCCCGGCTCGGCCAACCACGCGGCGGTGCTGCAGCACTTCGTGGGCTTCTTCAGCACCCAGCTGCCGAAGTGGAAGATCGAATGGGCCAACTCGACTTCCACGAACGCGGCCGGGGTGGAGCTTCCCATCGCGAACCTGGTCCTCAGCCGCGAGCCGCCGTGGACCCAGGCCGGACAGGCGAACTGGTTGACTCTGGCGGCGCACTATGATAGCAAGAGCCTGCCCGATGGCCTGGTCGCCGCGGCCGACGGGGCCGTGCCGTGCACCATCTTGATGCACGCTGCCCGGAGCATGGATCGGTACATGACGCAGATGCACGACGAGATGGACGCGCTGGGAGAAGGCGGAACCGTCGCGATGGACATGGGAGTGAAAATCGTATTCATCGACGGGAAAGAGTCCCTCGACGGAGGAAAAGAAGCGGCGTTGTACGGATCGAGGTGAGAAAAAAAAAAAAAACCTAACGGGAAGCAACAGCAACAACAACAACAACAAAAAACAAACACAAGGGAGAAACCGCATTTGCTAACCATCCCCCCCCCATCCCACAGAGATCTGAGCACAGTCTGGGAGAATCAGAAATACCCAGCCGGCGCCCAATACCCCAACGCCCTGAGCCAAGTCCGGCTCTTCGTCCTGCTCGACTTCCTGGGCGCCGCCAACCCGACCGTCCCGTCCTACAGCGTCGACACGCACTGGGCCTTCAAGAAGATGATCGAGCTCGAGGCCCGCCTGCGGAAGATGCAGCTCCTCGAGAGCCGCCCGCAGGCCACCGCCTTCACCTTCGAGACGAGCGAGGCCACGGGCCGCGCGGTCGCCGCCGCGGATTACGTGCCCTTCGCGCAGCGCGACGTCCCGTTCCTCTACGTCGCGCCCTATCCCCTCCCGGAAACGCGCCACACGGTGAACGACACGGGCGCCCATCTCGACATGCCGACCGTGAGGGAGTAAGTTTTTTTTTTCTTTTTTTTTCTTTTTTTCTTTTTTTCCGGGGCTCTCTCGAGACCCCAGCCCTCCCGACCGCAACACAGAACCCTTGGCTGACTCTCCGATTTTCTTCTTCTTTTTCCCTTCCAGCTGGGTCAAGATCATCACAGGCTTTACATTCGAGTGGCTGGACATGATGGAGGTCTGGCCCGAGTAGCGGGTAAATCTCGCCCGATCCCATCCCTTTCAAACTCTATCTGGGACGTATCTCAATCAGGCGTGAGTGCCCCTGGGAGGACGCAAGGCAAAGAATCACCTGCGGAGTCTACAGTGTCATGGTCCCATCGACCCAGGCCCATTCGGGTCTCGGAGTCAAATTCAGCTATGGCATAGATGGAGCCGTGCTGAAGGCTATCGATGACCTGGAGAGATAGCTTGTGCGTTAATGTAATTTTCATCGAGAGAGATAGAATCGAGATATAATCAAGATAGGCTGGATACTGGTCAAGATTACTATACCCTTCTCCGCGCCTAGATGTTTACCAGCCGCTTCCGAACCGCAGTATAATCAGCATGTATGCTTCGTATCATCTTCCGTAAATAAATCATGAAGCAGCCACCGAGTAAATACAAATGCTTCATCAAGGGTCCGTGTAACGCGGTACAACGGAATCTTCAAAATATCAATCTTTGAAAGCATTAAGATATATGAAGAATTTGGTAAAAGCTGCAATTGTCGAGATCCTTCATGCACAAGTGTATGCCGGGTAAATTTTACTATATACTATGGTGGAGTTAGGGCTCTGTATTTGTTTTGTCCATGTATATAGTATTGATGCTAAGCACTTTTGTCACGTAGGTGCGCTGCATGCTCTAGCCTTGCTAAGCACGTGATTAAGTCACGTGTAAGCTCTTATATAAACGAGTAGTTAGTTCCTCCTTGAACTAGCACTATATCATTATATAATACAATACACGTACTTATAACATATATCCGAGTGTCTTTCGATCGTCTTTTTTCTTTTCTTTTATTTACTTACGATTTTATTATAGCTATATTTATATATATCTTTTGATTTAACGTTAAGTATATGTCGGAGCTCTTTTCTTTTATATATATTTAATAACTTACGCAAGGAATCGAACCGAAAGTTGGTTTTTATACCCTTTTTAAATTTGCTTCTTTTACGAAAAGCTATATATTCGGAGTTCACGTTATACGCTAAGTTATTAACTATATGCTTTTGCGGTGTTTTTTTAAAGAGTATTCGATATACGCTAAGCTAATAATCAAGTGCTTTTGCATATAAGCTTCGAAGCTATTGCTTTAAAAGCGATCTTTCTTCGATTTGTGTCCGTCGAGCATACTATTCGATATACTCGATAAGTATTACTTAAAAAGTCGTTACTTTAATTCGAAGATCGAGCTAGCTAAAGTTCAATTCGATATTTATAAAGTACTATTCACTTAAACCACTTTATACGGCGATACGCTCGAAGTACTATTCGTTTAATATACTTTACTTCTTCGATTCAACATCGTTTTTAATACGAGTCTACTACTCTTTTTTCTTAAAAAAAGTAAGCAATAGCTAAGTACCGGAAATACTACGTTAAGCTTAAAAAGTTAAAAATTCAATACTTACTTCGCAACGGAAATTACGCATAAAGATTTCGAATTGCTTTCGAATATCTTTCGCTTTAGCAAATAAAAAATACAACGAACGGAAATAAATGTTATGCAATTCGGAACCGTTTTGTTATCGCATTATATTAAAAGCAAGTTATATGCTTGCACGGAAACTCGGCTATTACTCGACTTCGTTTTTATTTCGATATACTTAATCTCAGCAATTACTTTTCCGCTTATTACAAATCTTGCGTTATAAAGTTAAACGTATTATTAATATCGTTTATTATATCGATTTAATTTCGATTATCTAGCTCGACGCAATCGATACTCGACTTTTTAATAAATCATTTTCGACGCATCGAGATCTTATATTTTTATAACATTTCTTTATATATTTAATATTTATTACAAATTGTATTCATTTTATTTTTATTATTTATTTATATTTATATCATTTTCGTTCTTTTTTCGCATTTATTTTAAAATACTTTTATACTTTAATCGATATTTATCAACTTAACTTAACGAGCTTACGTTAAAGCTTTCGAAAACTAAAAAGAGCTATAACTTCTTCGATTTAAAAGGATTTCGGATTTAACGAAAATGCTATTCGCAAGTTAATCGAAGACGAAGTAAAAAAGATTCAAGCTTTCTTACCTTTCGTAAATGCTTCGAATTACGTAAGTATCCGTAAACCTTTTTTTAAACTTAAAGCTTTTAAAATGCTTGCTTTCGATAAAGCTAATATTACAAATCATATTCGCTAGCTCGAACGAGCGTTTAAAAACTACGATATCGTTATCGATTCGGAAAAGAAGCAATGCTTTGCTAAATATAATATTTTTAATCTTTTCGAGTATAATATACGTTGTAATATCGAAAGCTTCGGCGGCTTTTCGAATCCGAAAGTGACTTAAAACGACTTTAAATCGATAATTAAAAAAGAATATAAAGCTTTCGATTTAACTAAGTAAAAAGATAGTATTAGCTTTTTAAACGATTTAAGCAATAAGTAAATAGCAAAAGAAAAAGCTTTTAAAGCGGAGCTTTTATAATTTACTCGATAATTTAACTTTACGAGCTTTGCTTGCTTCGTTAATAAAGATATTATCGATAAGCAATTAAAATAAAAGTTCTTCGATTGCTTATTATTATCGATGCAGAATCGGACTTAAAAAAACGTTAAACTTAAAAAAGATTACTTGCAAACTTATAATATAATATATATTATAATAAGCGATTTAATTAAGCAAAAACATGTGACGACCTTAAGCGATTACTTAAAAGAACTTACGAGAGCGCGAGGGTTCATATAAGAGCTTAAGAAAATCTTAAAGTAATAACTTAAAATCAACAACTACCGAGTATAAAGGTCGAAAGTAGCTAAGGTTTATATATACGAAAGTAAAAGCGCTAAAGACTCGTAAACTATAGTTTATAAGTCAAAAGCGGAAAATAAAAGAATACGAAAAATACGAAAGAAAAAAGAAAAAAATAACTTAGCGCATATAAAGTGCGTTTAAAAGACCTAGCGTATCGTTACACTACTTCTTCGTCCGAAAAAAGCTCGTTTTCGAGCGTTTATCTATTGCCTTATCATTGCTCAAGTGATCGTAATTATTAATACCGTTTAAATAAGCTTTGATTTATTCGAAAAGCTTCGCGAAAAGGCCGAAAAGCTTTTTATATTTTAAATAAAAGTTACGTATCTTAAAAAAAGCGTATATAAAGTCGAAAGCGAAGTATTAAGTAAAGTCAATATTGCGGCCGAGCTAAAAAGCGCGGTACTTAAAATGCTTTTTAATTTAGCGTACGACTAAGATATTCTTTATTTTGTACTTAAGTTCGCTAATAATATTAATCGAATTAAGTTTAAAAATGATTTGCTCGAAAGTAAAGTCATTAAGAGCTTTTCGTAATTGTTCGAAATAAAAAACTAAATGAACTTTTATTAACTCGAAGAGCTTGAGTTTAAAGCTATTATAAATATTATTAATAACTTCGAACGATCCGTTTATTAAATTATCGAGCTTTTTTAACGGTCGTAAAATAAAAAACGAGCGCATATTTAATTAAACTTTATTATTAACGTCGAAATCAATCGAGCGCTTTAATTTATTAGCTTGTTTAATTATGCGATCTTAAGCGCGTTAGAAATGTTTTTTAACGAAGTTCTAAGCTTCGAAGTAGCGGTTAGCGTAAGCGCGAGCTTCGTTTTAATTAAGCTTACGAGAAAAAGTTTAGTCGTTAAGTCGTTTTAAGCTTTAATTCTAAGTGGTCCGAGAAGCGTAGCTATAGATTATTTTAAAAAAGGAAAAGCCGTCGAAAAAGTCGTAAAAGAGCGTTAATTAAGCGAAGTCTATTATAAAAAAGAACTCGCTCTAATCGTTTTAATAATAGCTTACGAAAAGACGGAAGCGTTTCTGCAAGTATTAGTTATAGATTTCGGTTTAACCGTTAATCTTAAAGTGTACGGCGATATTAAAAGTCAATTTAATGCCGAGGATTTTATTAAATTCTTTTTAAAACTCGGACTAATATTAAAGTCCTTTATTAAAAGTCAATATTAAAAGAGCTTTAAAATACTTATAAATATAATAAATATAAAGCTTAGCGAAGCTTTTAATATCGATAGACTTATAATAAAAGATCGAAATTGCTTGCTTAAAAAAGCGGTCGATTATTATAAAGACGTTGTCGTAGCCGTATTTGTCTTTATTAAAGCTGCAAAAATCTATAATAACGTACTTTTAAAAGCGTAAAAAGATCAAAAGAAATTAAAGCAAACTAAGTTTTTTATCGCAAAGCATTAAAGCTCGTTTACAAGCGTAGCAATTGCGATAATATTAATTAACGAATCTAGCTATGCCGTGCTAATAGTATTATATTGCAAAAAGCTTATAAGTTTTGCGAAAGCTAAAGTATATTATAAATATTTAATTGTAGACTTTTCGAACGAGTAACGAGCGCAAGTTTTAAACGTCGAAAACTAATAAGCGACCGTTATAAAGCAGCAAATCGCTTTTTATAATAAGTTTAGCTCGTAAACCGTAGTTCACGAGTAAAAGCTTAGCTTTAAAAGCTTGAATTCGAAGTGCTATAAAACTAAAAGCGGTCCGATTAGCTTTTAAGATTTAATTAATAACTCGGAATATTAATAAAAGCTCCGCGATTTTTTCGATAATAACGGCGGTCTTCGAAAATATAAATTAACGTAGCTCTTCGATCAAGAGTCGTAAGTCAACGTTATTAGCGCAAAGCAGCGTTTATAAGCGCTAAGTACGCTTAAAGCTGTTTTAAAAAAAGAGCTTTTCGATGCGACGTATTAACGCATTAATTAAAAAGTTATCTTTACTTAATTTATACGTAATAATAAAGTTGTAATCGAAAAAAAGCTTTGCTTAACGTACTTAACGAGCGTTAAAAGTTTTAAAAGTTATAAAATACTTTAAAGCCTTATAGTCGGTGATTACTTAAATCTAATAAAAAGAGCCGGCGAATTTAACGCAAAAGTTATTAAAAGAGCGTATAATAGCTAGCATCTCTTTATCGTAAACGACGTAATTAAGCTTAACGAAAGCTATAGTTTTAAAGTAGTAAGCGATTAATAGCTAATCGAGATTATGCTTTTAAAAAAAGATTAAAGCGATTACGCCGTTTAAAGCGTTAGTTTTTAATATATAAAAGAGGTTTTAATTGTAATGCTATAAGATTAGCGTAATAATTAAAGCGAGCTTTAAAAAGTCGAAGCTCCTTTAATATTAAGAATTAAATAAATAAAAAACGTTAGCTTTAATCAAG